ATACATATCAGGCAATAAATAATTAACCTAGAATCCATAAACTGAAATTAAAAAGGATGAAAAATCTTAAAAAGTGATCCTGAGAAAATTGGTTATTTCTCCACAAGGGAAGATGCTAGAAGCAATTTTTTGACATCTCTGTGATCGTATTGATCCAATCTATATATCCACTGGAATCAAATATCATAATATTAAACAAATACTAATTATAACTCACTTCAAAATAATAGTTGTTTTTGCAAAAATGACATTACTTCCGGTGCGAATGAAAATGTTAAAATAGTTCTATGAAATCAGAAATGGCATAAGGAATCATATGGTGAAAATTTTATAAAAATCGGAGAATAATTGACACTTTTATGGACCAAAAACCATGAAAAGTGACTTGTAGAAAATCGCCAAAATCTCTGCAACCGTACCACTTAGAAACCGTTTTGTGGTATCTGTATGATTGTATGGGTTTATTCTATTTGTTGATTTGAATCAAATATCACAATTTTAAAAACATTACAAATAAGAATCATTTGAATAAAATATCTCTTTTTAAGGCTAAAAATACAGTTTTTGCCCAAATCATGTCATTTCCGGTGACAGTGAAAATGTTAAATTGGTTTGACCTAGTCAAAATTGTCATAAGGCATCAAATGGTAAAAATTTTTGAAAATCGAATAATAATTGACTCTTTTACATGCAAACTAGCGTAAAAAGTGACTTATGCAAAATTGCCCATTTCTCGGCAGCTGCTCATATTACAAACTAATTTTCACATACATTCTCTTCGTATAGATTATTGCTACAAGTTTATGAAAGTTACGAAGAAATATTTTAAAATATGAAGACGCTGAATGGGTTGTTAATATCTTAATTTTACACCTTTTTTCACCTTTTAATCGAAATAGCCTGAAAACGAAATTGAAATTAAAAAAACTGAGTCCGATGGGTTTTTTTGCCTTTGCATGGCACATCCTTTTGGTAATATCAAATTTGAAAAAAATAATATTTGCTTTCAAAAAGTTGTACTAAACTCTCAGAATTGTAGTTTTTCCTAAATTTACGTCACTTCCGGTACCGAAAGGAAACTTCACCGGTAACAAAAAAAAATGACATTTTGAACCACGGAGCATATGAACTTTGTTTTATACAAATCAAACAATAAATAATTAATCTAGAACCCATAAACTGAATTAGCCAAGGAAAATTATCGAGACAAAAATTGTTCATATTGTTGCTCAAATCACATGTCCTTTTAAGTCTAGGTAAAACGCCATAAAAAGATATTCATAAATAAAAAAGTTTTTTGTTAAAATTTAAATTTTCAAATTTTGGCGCCTATTATCTCTGAAGATTCGTCGAAAATAAAACATCTAAAGAACCGTAGCTATTTGTCTTGTTTCAGGCTATGTCAAAATGTATCAAATGTTAAAATCTGATGATTATTGTTAATATTACGGCAATATTTAAAAAAACAACAACTTTGTGATTTCAGACATTTCTCATTGTCGCAGAAAGTTCGAAATAGCTTTAAACGCTAAGTCACACCCACTTCCCCAGTAAAACCAAAGATATCGAATCAATCCCACAAGTAGTTTCTGAGATACAGTCAAGTGGAAAAAAAAAAAATAATAATATGTATTTAATATTTTGTTCGTATTTGTATGCTGCCTCTAATGGGGTGTTTAGATACAATAAAATCTTATCTTATCTTATCTTATCTTATTCACGGCCACTTCCTGTCACATGTCATGGCTTATATAAAGAATCTTAACAAGAAAAAGTAATTATTAAAATCACTCAAAAACTCGCGAAGTTATAAGCTTAAATAAAGCGAGAAACATTTCACCCAGGCGAAAAAATAATCTGAAAAATAAAAGGAAATGACTGAAACTTGTATTGCTGTAATCCGATTGACTTTCAGTTCCAGAAGTTTCAGCCGTCTTCATTAGCCCAGTTCGCAGCAGAACAGTAGGACGTTAAACCCCATTTCATTTCAGAAGTTTCAGAAAAATCGATCAAGCCCTTTAAAAACGAGACAGATCAGAAAATAAAATGAAAATGGCAGGAAAATATTGAAAAATATAATGATATAATTTTGAATGGAACTTATATTTTCGCAATCAGATTGACATCAGCTGTTTGAATATTTAGGTCAAATTTGTAAATTTTGAAAATTAAGGAAATAAATTGTTGTGTAAACAAATTTGTCGGCACGAAAAAGGTCAAAGGCAAAATTTGAGTTTTGAAATTTTTGAAAGGTCAAAAATTCAACTCTGATCCCGACTATCCAGAAATGTATTCATTTCGGAAATAAGAGAGGTGTTCTTCAAACTACGGCCTATTGTCTTCATTTTCATGTCCGTTAATGTGGATTTTTCACTTTTTTTCATATTCAATTCAAATGGTGACCATCAATTGACCAAAATCCAAATTATGCTCTGATAGATTTTTAGGCATTCCTAAAGTAAAGTATTGCAAAAGCCTTAGGGATTTTTCACATTTCAAGATGGTGAAACTTCTGGTTCGATCGACAAACTCCATATTTTGTGTACGCATCAGTAATTTCTTAGCTAGTACAGAAAACAAATTTCAAGGCATTCTGATCTACTTTTTTTCAATTTTTTCAAAACTTTGTCCCTTAATTTCTCCAAGGAAAGATGATTTAGGACATTTCTAATGATATTGTTGAAGTTGGGTCAATGAGTTCTACTTACATTCCAAATTTCTTGAAAATCGTACTAATATTAAAGAAGTCGTCAATTTGGTTTTATCTCCGGATGAAAAGTCAATGATGTAATTTTCGAAATTCGGAAATAGCAGATTTGACGTAAATGTTTCAAGGTACTCAAAGAAAAAAGAATAAGTAAAATAGGTCAAATAGTCGCAAAGTTACAGCAATGTAGGTCAACTGTTTTTGTTCATAAAATTCGGTGATTTCGGATTCGTAGAATGTTTTGAAAATATATTTAAACAAAAGCCAGCACCCATTCTTGGGGGAGTAGGTAAAAGTTTCAGAAAGATCCTATGGTTAGATTCTGAGATATAAAATCTGCAGGAAAAGAACAAAAAAGAAATAATAACTAGATCTGCTACTGTGCCATGCAGATATGAAAGCTTTCATATTCATCGTAACAGTCACTTCCTGTCACATGTCATGGATTATATAAAGAATCTGATTGACTTAAATTTATACACAGTGTTTGTCATGAGACGAAGAAGCCTATTGATTTTCAGCGATTTCGGATAATTACTTCCAGAGTTATGGCCCTTGATCACTTTGAAAAATCTTGTGGACGCTCTAAAGGCTAAAGTTAATATCCGATTGACTTTAAATAAATTTATATGCAGTGTTTGAGGTCATGAGACGAAGAATCCTGTTAATTTTCAACAATTTCCGATAATTACTGCCAAAATTATGACCTTTGAAAAATCTTGTGATGCTTTAGAGGCTAAAGTTATCATCCAATTGACTGCAGATTGATAAACAGAGTTTAAGGTCTTGAGACGAACAAGTATATTGATTTTCAATGAGTTTTGATAACTTGAACAGCTAAATCCATGATATTAAATGTTTCGTATACTAAACGTTAGCATGGGGCAGAACTTTATAAAAACCAAACAAATTCTAATGATTTTCTGATAATTACTTAATGAGTTGTTACTCTTAATCAGATTTTAGTGTATTATAAATGCTTCAAAAGTAAAAATATGCGACAACTCTTGTTGACTGCCCAGTGCCCGGATGATTTAGTTGCTGTGGGCGTATATTTCGTTGCCTGGCAACCTATTTTAATTCGATTTTGATAAAACTTAAAATATAGGTCTATCTCCCAAAGATCTCAGTTCCTTTCGATATTTGCATGTATCGGACCATAACTTCATGGATTATGGCCCCTGATTGTACGAAAAATCACGTTTTTAACTTGTGGACACTCTATCTAGAGGTCGCAATTTTCATCTGATTTTAATGAAACTTGAAATGCATGTTTATAACCCAAAGATTTTGGTTCTTTTCGATATTTGCGCATATCGGACTGTAACTTCCTGAATTGGTGGCCCCAGATTGTATGAAAAATCACGTTTTTAGCTTGTGGTCCCTCTAGAGGTCACAATTATTATCCAATTTAAAAAAAACCATTTGAATATATCACCATTACACTGTAATGATGCTTGAGTTCGAATGTCGTGAAGATCGGACCAAAACTGCCGGACAAAATGGCTGCCCCTCGTACGCAAATAGCATAAATATATGGTATATCAAGGTTGTAGATCCTCTTGATTCCTGTCGATATTCGCGCATATTGGATCGTAACTTCCTGAATTATGGCCCTTGATTGTACGAAAAATCGCTTTTCATTTAGCTTGTTCTCTATCCCTCTCTTGCAAAATGTGGGCGTATCCTGCCTGGCAGCCGCTGGTTGGAATCAGATTGACCTCAGCTGTTCGAATATTTAGGTCAAATTTGTAAATTTTGAAAATTAAAGAAATAAATTGTCCTGTAAAGAACTTTGTTGGTACAAAAAGGTCAAAGGCGAAATTCGAAGTTTTGAAATTTTCAAACATCAAAAATTCAACTCAACTGTATCTTGGCCTTTCAGTCAGTTTATAACTTATATCAGGATATCAAGATAATAATTGTGAAAAGAGCTTGCTTGAGAAGGGATTGTACATTGTATGAATTAGAATAAATAACAGGAATATTATAGGACAATTTATGTCAACTGTTCTATACAGGCTGCTTTATCTTATATGAAAGGGGATGTATTTGTATCCAGGACATTTATTTTCAATGTTATGTTTCTCTCATCATGTCAACAAAGAGAAAGGAAAGAAATGCCTTCATATTGCCATTACCAACTATCTCTGTCAACAAGTGATTTGAAATCTTGTGTTTTTAAAATGCTCCTCAAACAAATGTTAGAAGTCCACATTGGTGACTAGTTTTAATACTTGTGAAATAAGTGTGTGGAGCTATGTTTTGTGTCGGGACCTCTTCTTCTTCCCATTGACCATTGACAAGTTGACTGATTGGTTGTCGTTAGAGGGTCGTGTACACAATCAGTGTAAATAACTGGCAAGACCTCCCGAATTCTCTACCTTCACAATTGTTAGTTGCGGTTTTGTTTGCGAGGAACTGAGAATTTGGCTAGTAATTTGTGCAGTGTAAATATCTTGTTTCAACAACTTGCATCCAAGATTGGATCCCTTTTGAAATGAGTTAATGTTAAAATTATAATGTCAACATTGGGTGATGTGAGAGTATCTACATCATATGAAATTTCTGAACTAAAACACTCTAGTCTTACAGTGTAGTAGCATTTTGAATCTATTTGATTATATTATACACATCAAGGAGTTCTTGGAGGTTGGTCATTTTCAATAGACTACCATCATCCATTTTGACCCACCTTGTTGAGACAAAACATGATACTTCACATTAGAGGAATGTATTTTGAAGAGAAGGAAAATTGACTAGTAGGAGTGTCGACTTGTTTTTTTGTTTTTTCTTTGATAAAGAAGAAAATGTCTTATATGCCAGTTTTACTATAGAAAAGGATAATAATGAATTTTAAGTTTGATTGGTGATTTTATGTGGACTTTTCCTATGTTTATTTATAACACTGACCATAGGATTAAACAGTTTTATGGTGTCGTGAAGTCCAGTTGGTTATATTGTCGCTTGATAAATGCACAAATTATACGTTTCTTATTTTGTTTATTATTACAGATTATATTCAAAGGTAAGTTCCTGAATTTAATAATCTAAAAAAAACATGTAATCTTTTAGTACCTTAGTTGGATTAATTTGGTTCGACATGAAATATTCCAGAGTGTTAGGCAATAGTAGGAAGAACACAGGGGTTAATTCCAATAAATGTATATGTTACAGTCAATCTGTGTAATCAGTCATTTCATGTAATGACTAAATGAATCAATCACTTTGCAAAGAGCCTGTGAGCACCAGGCAATACGTGTAATGACTGAAAATTCCAGACACTACACAAAATGACTATCAGTTTGATTTTTGTCCCCAACATTTACTTACTGACTCTGATGTAACACTTTGTCAGGCTGTACATATAGAATCCAGCTGTGGTGGACAGGGTTATGTCTGGTGCAATTGTAAAGGTTCCAAGACATGTGGGACGAATAGATGCAAATATTTCAAAAAAATAAAATGCTCCAGCCGCTGTCATAGCAGCCTGTTATGCATAAACAAGTAACTTGAGAGATGAACCAACCTGAAGTTTGTCCAAAAAGTGTTTTGACTGTAAGACTTTCATGATGAAATTGAAAGACAACTATATTTGACGTCAGTAAATGTTTTACACCATAGTGAATTTTTATACGCCCACATTTTCATGTGGACGTATATTGTCATCGCACCTGTCTGTCCGGACGTCCGTCCACAATTTGTTTGTGGACACTCTACAGGTCACAATTCTTATTCCGATTTTGACGAAACTTGAAATACAGGTTTATCTCCAAAAGATCTCGGTTCCTTTCGATATTGACATGTATCGGATCGAAACTTCATGGATTATGGCCCCTGTTTGTACGAAAAATCATGTTTTTAGCTTGTGGACACAATAGAGGTCACAATTTTTATACGCCCACATGGAAATGTGGTCGTATATTGCCGTCTGTCCGTCCGTCGTCCACAATTTCTTGTGAACACTCTACAGACTACATTTATCATCTGATTGTTTTGAAATTGATATATGTTGTTTGCATTTGTGAGATGAAGAAGCCTATTTAATTTCAATAACTTCTGTTAATTTCGTCTGGAGTTATGGCCCTTGTTTCACTTTGTTGCACCTCGTGAACGCTCTAACGACAAAAGTTATCAACCGATCTGTATGAAATTTATATGCATCATTTAAATAAGTAAAACAAAGAAGCCTATTGAATTTCAGCAATTTCCGTTAATTAAATCTAGAGTTATGGCCCTTGTTTCACTTTGTTGAATCTTGTGAACGCTCTAATGACAACAGTTATCATCCGATCTGTTTGAAATTGATATGCATCATTTAAATTAGTGAAACGAAGAAGCCTATTGAATTTGAGCAATTTCCGTAAAATTACGCCGGGGGTTATGGCCCTTGTTTCACTTTTTTGTACCTTGTGAATGCTCTAACAACAAAAGTTATTATCCGATCTGTATGAAATTTATATGCATTATTTAGATTAGTAAAGCAAAGAAGCTTATTGAATTTCAGCAATTTCCGTTAATTACATCTAGAGTTATGGCCCTTGTTTCACTTTGTTGTTTCTTGTGAACGCTCTAACAACAAAAGTTATCAACCGATCTGTATGAAATTTATATGCATCATTTGAATTAGTAAAACAAAGAAGCCTAATGAATTTCAGCAATTTCCGTTAATTACATCTAGAGTTATGGCCCTTGTTTCACTTTGTTGAATCTTGTGAACGCTCTAATGACAACAGTCATCAACCGATCTGTTTGAAATTGATATGCATTATTTAAATATTAGTGAAACGAAGAATCCTATTGAATTTCAGCAATTTCCTTTAATTACGCCGTGAGTTATGGCCCTTGTTTCACTTTGTTGTACCTTGTTTATGCTCTAACGACAAAAGTTATTATCCGATCTGTATGAAATTTATATGCATCATTTAGATTAGTAAAACAAAGAAGCTTATTGAATTTCAGCAATTTCAGTTAATTACATCTAGAGTTATGGCCCTTGTTTCACTTTGTTGAATCTTTTGTCGCTCTAATGACAACAGTTATCATTCGATCTGTTTGAAATTGATATGCATCATTTAAATTAGTACAACGAAGATGCCTATTGAATTTCAACAATTTCCGTTGAATACACGGTGAGTAATGGCCCTTTTTATATGCCCACATTTTCATGTGGACGTATTATGCCGTCGCCCCTGTCCGTCCGTCCACAATTGTTTGTGGACTCTCTACAGGTCACAATTCTTATCCGATTTCGACGAAACTTGAAATATAGGTTTATCCCCAAAAGATCTTGGCTGCTTTCGATATTGGCATGTATCGGATCGAAGTATAAGTTTATAACCCAAAGATCTCGGTTCCTTTCAATATTTGCCCATATCGGACCGTAACTTCCTGAATTATGGCCCCTGATTGTACGAAAAATCATGTTTTTAGCTTGTGGACCCATTAGAGGTCATAATTTTTATCCGATTTAAAAAAACGTATTATTATATTACCGTTCCACCCTAAGGAAGGTTGAGTATGCGAATAGTGTAAAAATATGGTAAATCAAGGTTGTGGACCCTGTATAGGTCACAATTTTAATTCGATTTTGATGAAACTTGAAATACATGTTTATAACCTAAAGATCTTGGTTCTTTTCGATATTTTCGCATATCGGATAGTAACTTCCTGAATTATGGCCCCTGATTGTACACAAAATCGCCTTTTTTAGCTTGTGGTCCCTCTGAAGGTCACAATTATTATCCGATTTAAAAAAAACATTTGATTATATCACCGTTACACCGTAATGAAGGTTGAGTTCGAATTTCGTGAAAGTCGGACCAAAATTGCCGGACAAAATGGCCGCCGCTTGTACGCGAATAGTGTAAAAATATGGTATATAAAGTTTTGATGAAACTTGAAATGCATGTTTAAAACCTAAAGATCTTGGTTCTTTTCGATATTGTCGCATATCAGATCGTAACTTCCTGAATTATGGCCCCTGATTATATACGAAAAATCGTCTTTTTTAGCTTGTGGTGCCTCTGAAGGTCACAGTTATTATCTGATTTTAAAAATTGTTAGAATATATCACCGTAACACCATAAGAAACGATGAGTGCAAATTTCCTGAAAATCAAACCAAAGCTGCTGGACAAAATGGCCGCCGCTTGTACGCGAAAGCTGTAAAAATATGGTATATCAAGGTTGTGGACCCTGTAGAGGTTACAATTCGATTTCTTAAAAATCGGACCAAACTTGACAGACAAAATGGCCGCCCCTCGTACTCAAATAGCGTAAAAAACATGGTATATCAATGTTGTGGATCCTCTAGAGGTCACAATTTTATTCTGATTTTGATGAAACTTGAAATGTATGTTAATAACCCAAGGATCTTGGTTCCTTTCGATATTTGCACATATCGGATAGTAACTTCCTGAATTATGGCCCCTGATTGTACGAAAAATCGCATTTTTAGCTTGAGGTCCCTCTGGATGTCACATTTATTATCCGATTTAAAAAAACGTTCAAATATATCACTGCTACACAATAATTTTGGTTGAGTTTGAATTTCATGAAAATCAGACCAAAACTGCTGGACCAAATGGCTGTCCCTCGTACACAATTAGTGTAAACATCTAGTATATCATAGTTGTGGACCCTCTAGAGATCACAATTTTGATCTGATCTTGATGAATCTTGAAATGCATGTTTATAACCCAAAGATCTTGGTTCAGGCATATCGGGTAGTAACTTCCCTGAATTATGGCCCCTGATTGTATAAAAAATCATGTTTTTATCTTGTTGTAGAGGTCACAATTTTTATCCAATTTAAAAAAAAAAAACATGTGAATATATCACCATTACACACTAAGATCTTGGTTTCTTTTGATAATCGCGTATATCCAAACGTAACTTCCTGGATTGTGACTCCTGATTGTTCGAAAAATCGCATTTTTAGCTTGCGGAGTCTCTAGAGGTCACAATTTTCTTTTCTGATTTTAAAAATCGTTTAAATATATCACCATTCCACCATAATGAAGGTTGAATTCAAATTTCGGGAAAATCAAAATGAAACTGCCCGACAAAATAGACGCTCTTTGTACACAAATTGTGTAAAAGTATGCAATACAAAGGTTGTGGACCCTCTAGAGGTCACAATTTTTATCCGATTCTGATGAAACTTAAAATTTATCTTTATATCCCAAAGATCTCAGTCCCTTTTGATATTTGCGCATTTCAGACCATAACTTTCTGGATTATTACCCCTGATTGTACAAAAAATCCTGTTTTGTTTTAGCTTGTTCTCTATCCATCTCTTGCAAAATGTGGGCGTATCCTGCCTGGCAGCCGCTGGTTGTTGATATTTTATCCGTAAATGATATACAGGTTGCAATAATTATAAACAGATTTGGATCCAATTTGGAATGATCCAGCATAGGGTTGTACCTATATATATATTGGTCCATGTCCAACCCTGAGGGGATGAGCCACGCTCAATTTTTGTGTTTTTTTGTCTACAGACTGGAATTCTAAATGTAATATCTTTGAACTTGGCATAATTATTTCTTATACTGTAAGGCTAGCAACTATTTATTTTGGTGCATGTCCCGACCCCCCCAGGGTTGTGGTATATCACACCCACTTTTTATAGGTAAATACTCTACAGGTTGCAATAATTAACAGATTTTGTTCAAATTGAGCATATTAATCATTTCAATAACAGGGTGGTACCTTTTATATTGTTCCATATCCAACCCCCAGGGGCAGAGCCATGCCCAATTTTTGTATTTATCGTCTACAGGCAGCAATTCTGAATGGATTATCTTGGATCTTTGCATATTTATTCCTTATACCGTAAAGACAGCAACTATTTATTTTGGTGCATGCCCTGACCCCCTGAGGCAGTGTCACACCCACTTTTTTGTTAAAGGAGCTATAATAATTTATATTTCACAAATCTGAAAGTTAAAGTAGCTAAGTCTCTAACTCAATATCATCCAAAATCTTCAACATTGAAAACACGATTTATTTGTCAAATTAAATC